ACATAAGGTTTAAAACAGCGCAACATTCGATCCACAAAAATTGGTAGTGGTTCACGTCACTCTTGTAAGAATAAAAATTTCTGCTGACGCTTAGGATAAGCAGTATCTTTCGTAATGAAATCAATTGTCCGCCTGACAAACTAAGCATAGATACGAGGTTAGAACGGTACAAGAGTCTCAGAGGTAGCCTGTGTAATGGGAGTAAATGGGGAAAAAGGCACGGCTAGGGCTAGTCTCGTCTCCCCGCACCCCTTTTTCCCTCCACATTACTCCAGCTACGCAGATTTCACAAGAGCTGACCGCAATCAAGGAAACCCTTGACGTGCAGAACCCATCATTAATTGGTCGATTTTGAAATATCATGTTAAGGAACACGTTTGTTCAGATGTTTGGATACACTTCTACTGGTAAGTGTTGCAAAAGAACTTGATAAAACTAGATTTACCTATCGTTCATTCTTTTCTACACAGCATGTTCCATGTGTGTACAGAATCTGAGGGGGATGATTGTCAACAATTCATATAATGTAAATGAGACAGATGTAAAGGTTCACTCGCTGAAAGAGTTGACAGACTTCAATGAACCAATGGTAGCAGTGTCGAGTTCGTTAAGGCAAGCCAAGGTTTGTAAATTTCTACGTCAGTTACCAACCTTCCCTCATTTCAAGTGTCTGTTTTTAGTGGCACTGTTGTTCTGCTATTTCAGGCTGAAAGAGAACAGTTCTATTCAAGGATTTCTGCAGGAAATCAATTCTACCAAGGCCTCATAACCTCACATGTGCCTGAAACCAACAACAGCCTAAAAGAACTCTCAGTCAGGGTAAGAAATGAGACGTGTAAGTCTTCCAATTTATAACAATTAACAAATGAAAAATAAGATTTAGCTGGGCAAACAAAACATTTAAGCCATCTTCTACATTCTAGTAGATGCAGACAAGTAATTTGGTGGTTCTAGACACCCTAGAAACACGTACTTATAGACAAGAATTTTCGAATACCAGAAATTGTTCCGCGGGGAGAGACCAAAATCGCTACCCCTGATTCGAGTTGGCCCTGTCCTTCACCGTAAATACCTTTTCAATGGTTTTGTGTGTTGATTTCTTTTTTGTGTGTATTTTTATATTTTTAGGCAAGGGATCTCAGCAGTTTTGCAAACGAAGCTGCCACTAACACCACGAAGATTCTAGAGGATATCACATACGAAAAGGAGGCGACATTATCTGCCAGGCAATATGTTACTTGTAAGTCCTTCGTCCAATTTAAAAGCCTCTTTCATCTTCTTATGGAGCAATAAGTATGTTGATTACCGCATTGAATTTCACTCTTTTCATTGACCGTTTTCATCGAACAACTTCTTCATAAGAAACTCGTTGTTCTAAAGACTGGTGTGGACTGTTTATGTTTGCTTCAGTTAAAAGCTCAACAAGGGCACAAATGCGAAATCGTAATCAAGTTCTAGCTAATTCTAGCAATAATTTAGATTATCCCAATGGAAAAGATAACAGACCTTGCGTTACTTAGTGATTTAGGAACTGTGTCCTTAAGAAGCTCATAGCAAAGTCTGCTGAGGAGCTGCATTCACTGGACTCATCACACTTTTAATTCAATGCAAAATAAACAATGTATTCTTCATCAGCTGTGGATGTTATCATCGGAGATGTACGCCAGGCACTTGAGGAATACAGTACTACTGCATCGCAGGCCTTGACGCACTCAACCGAGGCCTGGCGCAATACAATGGAAAGAAACTTTACTCAATATTCCTGGAACATTACTGAACATACAAGAATGGCTGAAAACATGTCTGCTCATGTCGAGGAAACTTTAACGCGGGTATATAACTTAACTGTAAATATGTTCTGGTGCCACTTATAGAATCGAAACTGGAAAGCTTAGCTAAGCTAACCTTGACCGGCTTATCCAAGATGCCATTGTAAAAAGTATAAAAAGTTCTTTCTTTGGTGAAGTTTTCCAAAATAGCGATATTGAGCTGTGTAGAGATTCACGTAATTAGCATGATGAGCTATTAAAAGGAAAGCTATTCTAACAACAAGCTTCCTTGAAATCCCCACAAAACTGTATTGTTGTTATTGTTAAATTCGATTCTTGCAGAAACTGGTAATGAGTGTATAAATAAATAAATGAATAAATAAACAATAAATAAATAAATGATAACTTGTTGATTTTATTTTGTGTCAAATGAGTCTGCTTATTGGATATTCATTTGTTATTTCACAGGTCGTTTCTCAGCTATTTCGTGCGAGAGAACTTGATGTCTCCATACAGCAAAAAGCAGCCAATTTTAATCAGATTCAGGAGAGCTGGAGTCAGTCACATGCACTCTTCATGGATTCAGTTGAGCAAGTTTATAACCATTCCAGGGAAATACAAGCGATCTTGATGGACACAAAGGTAGGAACGTTTTAGAGTTTTTAGTTAACTTAAGTCTTTTTTTTCTTTTTACTGCGCCATTCAATAACATGCGGACTCTAAAATTCAAAGCTCAACCGACAAATGCGCTTTTCGCTACCGTCAATCAAATGTTCGGCGCCTCCGGCAGCTCCTCCCAGCTTCCAACTACTGCCGAGCACTGTTTTGTCTGAACTATGTGCTCAACGATTTGATTACCGCATTAGATTCCGCATGTTATTGAAAGGCACAGTAAGTGAAAACAGTAAAAGTTCATCATGGCAAATATCGAAACTTGATAAACTACAGTATATAAAAATGTCTTAAATAAAAATTTAAACTCCCTAAAATTTATATACCTTTACCAAAAATAAATAAATGAATGAATAAGTAGTACCTGTCTTAACCGTTGCCGTTGACGTCACTGTCATTTCATCCTCTGCTTACTTTTCTTTGCAGAATCTACTTGAACAAGAATTGATAGCTTTGAATAACACCAGTGCTTCGTTATCAAACACAAATGCGACATTAAATGATACAAGAAATGTTTTGTTGACAGGGACCTTCATATTTGAGGTAATGATACCCCTTTTACCTTCACGTAATGTACAACTTTTTTCAGAAAATATTCTCCCGTAACTCCTAATTACCTGTGTTGTATCTAAATTGATTTGGGATTCAGTTTCAACCCCAAGAGTAATTGTTCTTGTGGCTCCAATCAGTGTACCTGTGTTCAGAGATTCCCAAATTTTCAACAAATCTAAATAAACGTAGCATAAAACCCAATGGTACAGAGAAGCTTTGGCAGAGCCAAAGTTGCAATCAAATTCTTGATCACAAGTTAACCTCAATTCCGCTTAACATCAGAGTAAAGCACGGAAACAGTTGCTTGAATGCTTACGACAATTTACCTGGAATTTAAAGAGAATACCTCCTAACAGTTTGACAAAATCGGAAAACTAGTTGTTGAAACAGTGAACTTCGTACAATTGTTTTCATCCAAATATAACTGAAGCTAACACTAAGTCTCCAAGACCGAATGGAGAAGAAAATCTAATTGATTGTTTCAAAATATTCTCTCTACAACAGCAATACCGCAGCACATTATCGCCTGTCAATGGGGAACTGGAGGTATCCATGCTGCAATACGAACAAGAACAAACACAATTTGTTATACGCATAGAAAGGGGCCGTAATCTACCACCGAAAGATCTTTCCAGTCAAACCTCAGACCCGTACGTTTTGGTATCAACTATCCCTGACTGGAATAACGAGGGAACTCAAAAGTCCTCCACAGTCAACGGTAATGCTCATCTACAATTATGAGTGCAACAATCAAACTCTATTATGAGACGGTGGAAAGGCTGGGTTAATTCTGTGACGCTTCTTTAAGTTTTTTTTT